TCCGACCCTAACATCTATGAATCTATACTGCCTGTTCAGGCCACACTCACTCCGCCCTGTTTCAGAGAGATCCGCAGGCTTTTCTTTCCACCCCTTGGTCAGCCCTGGCATGGTTTTTTGGGCCTCTCCTATGACCCTTACCCAAACAGGACTGAGCGATTGCTCAACTACAAGCCTACTTCACCCCAGCCCCTCACCAAACCACTACGCCCCTTGGGCCACAACTCCGCCCCTTTACACTAGGGCCTAGGATCTTCCACCCCTTAGGACTCAGCCACTCCTCCATGAGCTTAACTGGCCCCACAACTCCACCCTGTAACTCTCAGGCCCCGGAGTCTTACACCCCCCTTGGGCTCAGGTGCTGCTCATTCAGTGTGCCTGGGCCACCTCCAGGGTTCAACACCCCATGCCTGCCCCCCCGCAACTTTCCTGGTAACCCATCCAAAGATGGGGGCAAGGGTTTAGTTGCCTCGACCCACCTTACACTGGGGAGGTTTTCAGTCCTGGTTTATGTGGCCCGGCCCCACCACAGGCAGGACCACCAGGCCTCCCTATCCCAGCAGTGTGTAGTTTTTGGTAATGCCCAGGACCAGTGAGGCCTCCTCCTTCCCCATAGCCTCACCCTTACCTCCGAGATAACTCCTGGAGCAAGAGCTCTGCCAGATGATGTTACTCCCTGCTGGCTGATCTCAAAATGCTCTGCTTTTATAACAGAGCTCTCCCAAAATGACCATTCTCATTAGCCACCTGGCAACTCCCTGCTTCAGCCCTTAAAGTGACAGACCTTAAAGGGTGTTCTGTCAGAGGGGAAAGATGGTTGTGAGATCCGAACCTCATCAGTATGCACGTCCTTCTTTAGAGTTGGATAAAAAGTCCATTGGAAATTTGGTCACTCCTAACTTCTGTAAGCTTCACTTGTTAATCTAACTTAACTTTTTATAACTTGTGTGAGAAGTCAAAAACAAATTTTAAAACGTACAGCATTCCCTTCCATGTCATCATCTAGATTTGAACTTTTTAGCTAGGGACAGAAGTTATGCATAAACCAGTTTATCAGAAACAGGTTTAAACCTGTAACAGAACAGAAGTTCATTGCATTTAAACCACTTTCAAAATGGCTGAAACTAGTTTAAGATAAACTTGGTTGGATGTAGTATCAAACTTAACTGATTTAGGTCAAGCCGGTTTATGGAACTTCTGTCTCAGATCCCCTCCAAGTTCAATTTAACCTTGCAGCTGTGGGCTGTGCTACCTGCTTCAACATAGCAGGGTCTGCCCCGCCCCTCTGCTGTCTAGCTAGAGCACTATCGTTCCCCTGGCCTGGCTAACTGAGGCGGCGGTGGGGGGGAAAACCCACCCCTCTGACTGGGCTCTGGACCCCAAGCTGCTGGGAAAGGTGGGGGCTTGGCTTCTCCCCCAGGAGCAGGCCTGGAGTTCCCCAGCCCCACACCCTCCTCAGCCACAGCGGGTAGGCCACACTGGGGTTTGGCTCCATCCCTGGGAGCCAGGAGCCTGGCATCCACACCCCCTCCTCAGCCTCCAGGCCAATGGAGGGGGGGCCAGAGCCTGCAGCAGGGGCTTGGCTCTGCTGCCAGGAGCAGGGCTGGAGTCCCCCAGCTATGCCCCCTCCTCGGCTGACCCAGAGGCTAAGAAGTAGGCGTGACTAGGGGACTGGTCCCCCTCCTCAGCCCCTAGCACACCCTCTCCTTGGCCTCTGGGCCAGCTGGGGGGTGGAGAGGAGCCTGTACTGGGGCTTGGCTTCACCCACCAGGGCTGGAGACCCCTAGGCATGCCCTCGTCTCAACCTCCAGGGAGAGGGGGGAGAAGACGGCACTGGGGATTTGGTTTTGGCCTCTCGGGCTGGGAGCCTGGAATGGGTGCGAGCTTTGCCCCCCTGCCCCCCCAGCTGTCTCAAAGGCTAAGGAGGGGTGTGGCTGTGGGACTCCAGCCCTGCTGTGAGCAGGTGGAGTAAAGCCCCCGGTTTGGGCCCCCGCTCCCCGCCTCTGCACCCTGCCCCGGTCTCTGTCCCATATGCCAGTTCCTGTGGAGGCCAAACCCAATAGCTCTGTCATACTCCTAAAGCTTCTGTGGCAATTCTGTTACAGCTTCCCAGGGCAGTGCCTGCTACTACCACTACTCTAAGAAAGTGGCTCTAGCCACAAACTATATATTTAGTTATTTTGATTGACTTCCAAACAATTCAAAAAGAGGGTAAATAGCACTTTAAAGGAATCTCATAACTATAAGAAAAAGTATTTCCCCTGCCCAATGATCTTCACGCTACCGAATATAAAAAGCCTGTGGCATTTATTGAGGGTATTCAGCTCTTTGGAAAAAGGTCTGCAAGAATGAACCATAATTTAGCAACAGCTTCCATTGGTCCCATAGCAAAGCTGACACAGCATTCCACTCCACCCTCTCCACAAATATAGTTTTAGTCCCACTCATCCTACTGAATGCATACTCACTCACTCGCGTGCACTTTACTGTCTCTTGCTTGTTTTCTCTCTCTCCTCGCCACCCCATCTGTAGTTATTTTAGGAAAGCTGATCTTTGTTTTTTGCTTGTATCTGCTAGTGTTACACGGAATTACTTGGATTGGCTCACATCTATCCCATGGGGTAAATGCAGTGAAGAGAACCTGGAACTCACCCGAGCCCAGGCAGTGCTGGAGGAGGATCACTATGGGATGGATGATGTCAAGAAACGAATTCTGGTAAAGCACACTCAAAACATTCAGGCTATCTATTCTAGTTAGCATCGTGCAGCCTAATTATATGTCTTGCTTGTGACTCGCCATTGAACTTGTATTTCTTTATATATCTAATGAGGTGATGCATGAATATTGTTTAAGCGGGGGCCACAGTTTTAGTGGATCTTTGTGGGAAGATAAGGAGGAGCAGTGTGGGACACAACCCCCCCCCCCAAGAGTGAAATTATTACTGTTCTCTGATGTCAACCAGAGACCCAAATTCGTCTCTATTTAATTTATTTTAATTGCTAGTTGTTGCTGCTGCTTTGTGAAGTTTTGCCACCTGATAGGCAACGAATAAATGTTAAATGTAGAGGTCGGGTTGAATGCCATTCCTAGATCATAAAGGCTAATGTGACGGGGGCAAGCTTGGGGCTGAGATTCAAGTCGGCCTGCCCACCTGTCTATGGGGCAGTCTGCCTAGGCTCACATGCCACAACTTTGCTGTAACAATGAACTGGTGGAAAATGCAGGAAGCTGCCCGTTACATGCCCTGATGCTAGGGGGTGCTATCCGTGGCTCTGTACCGCCCCTACACCATTGTCCTTGCCTTGCAGATGGCGTCCAGTATGTCACGATGCTGTTGGCCTAAAGCTGGGCCAATGTAGTCCTTTGTCAGGCCTCATTCACGCACGCACTCATACCACCCCCGTCTCACTGGGGCTTGTCTCACTCCACCCTCTCACAGGGTCTCTTGCTCGCTGCACGATACGGTGCCCCCTTCACTCTGCCCTGCTCCCTTGAGCAGCCTGGTAGGCCATCAGGCTTATCCGAGTCACACCTCGGGTGGCGACATTTAGTTTCTTGGGCCTCTCCTGTGACCCTCACCTAGGTAGTGGCCAGCTGATTCACCGAACAGAGGGCTAACTCTGCCCTAGCTCCTCACCAGGCTTCTCACACCCAACAACTTGAATTCATGGGGTTTGGCCCATATGCTGCCCTTCTGGCCATCCCACAGCCCTACTCAGCACACCCCCTTGGGCTGCCCTTCAGGCTGACCCTCAGCCCTACATATCCCCCGTATTAGGGCCTTCACTACTGCCCCCTCCCTGGGGCTACACAACTATCCTCTCCCTGGGGTCTCCAAGATCTTTCACCCCTGCGGGTTCAGATGGCTGCATCTGTGCCTGGCCCCCCTCTTTTCCTGGGGTCTTACACCCCCTGGGGCTCAGGTGGCCATAGCCATGTACTTGGCCCCCTTACCCACAGTGTTTTGGGGGCTGGGGTTATTAAGGTGCCCCGACCTGCCTTTCGCCAGGGAGGTGAGCGGTCCTGGTATTTGAGTGGGGCTGCCATGCTACTGGCAGTCCCACTGAGCCTCCGTATCCCGACAGGGTGCAGTTTTAGGTCATGCCGAGGACCGGGAGTCTCCAAACCATCCTCCTAGCTCTTGCCCTTACATCCAGGATGTTCCATGCTGCAAGGGAACTGGATGGTGCAGCTCCCTCGGCTACAAGCAGCTAACTGCTGTCTCTGCCTGGCTGGCCTTTGTTTGAAAATGGCTGCCTTAATCAGGCACCTGTTGGCTGCCTTCTTCAGCCCTTAAAGTGTCAGGCACCAGAAGTGCACCGCAAGAGCTAAGTACAGACATTTGGGGCAGTTACATCAGGTTCCGAATGTCCACCCGATTTAAACTTAGCTCATCCTGGTGCCGACCTTACACTTGCAGATGCAGTCTCAGTGACCAGCAATCTGTTTAAACCTGTAATTTTACAGAAGTTCCATGTACACAAACTGGTCTAAAAATTGGAGAACCCAATTTAAGTGAACCTAGATCTATGTAGTATCAGACTTACTTGATTTAGGTCAAACCAGTGCATGGAACTTCTGTCCACTTCCCCTGTACAGCCCCAGGGCTGGAAAAACCCAGCCACTGGACCCAGCCCCAGGACTGCTTTTTTCATTTCCTCTGCACTGGTCTATTTTTTGCAACCCTGCCCGGCCCCTTGCTCCCCTCCCCCTGCCCAGCCAGTCCTCTCAACCCCCATCCCACAAGCCACTCCTGGTGCTACTGCTTTTATCATCCTTTGCCACTGCCAGAGCTGAATAAGTCTGGTAGGGGGGCAGTGTTGCCGCCAGCATAGCCCAGTCCAAGCCCCCCCTCCCCAGCTGGGAGGAGCCTGGCGCTGGCCCCAGCCCACAGCAGCAGCCTGCCCTTGCCCTGCACACAGATCTAGGGGCACATGCCCCCCATACCCTCCTGGGGTGCATGCAGTGTCAGGAGCTGCCACCCCTTCCCATGTGCCCTCTGGACGAGCTGCTCACAGCTCAATCCTGCACTCCACCCCAGCCGTGCAGCACCTGCCCCTGCCCCAGCCCCACTTCCTCCCTCACCGTGGGGGCCTCTATGTGCCCTTTCCCTCCACACCCCCGCCTGCAGGAGCTCCCCGTTCACTGCCAACACCACTGCTGCTGCCTGTGGGAGCTCCCCACTCACCGCCAACAAGTGCTGCTGCTGCCGCCTGCGGACAGTCGCTGTCCCCCCAGCCTCTGGGGGCATGCGGCGTTCATGCATACTATTGCCAAAAGTTCAGCAATTTCACCTTTGAGTTCCTTCAGAACTCTCAGATGAATGCCATCCAGTCCTAGCAACTTATTAGTATTTATCGATTTGTTCCAAAACCTCTTCTGCTGTCAATTCAGTGTGATCCAACTCTTCAGACTTATCTACTAGGAAGGATTGATCTTTCATGGGAATTTTGCCAGTATCTTCTGCAGTAAAAACTGATACAAAAAATTAATTTAGCTTCTCTGCTATTGTCCTCTGCTATCATCCTGGAGTGTACCTTTTACATCTTGGGCATCTAATGGTTCCATGAATGATCTTACTAGCTTTCTGTTTTTGATGTATGTTTTAAAAGTTTTTATTATTAAGTTCAGCATCTTTTGCCAGACAGTCCACATTCTTTTTTGACCTGCCTTATTTCACTTTTACACTTGACCAACTAGAGTTTGTGAGCTTTCGTGTTTTCTTCATTTGAGCATGCCTTCATTTTTTTTTTTTTTTTTGAAGTATGCCTTTTCCCTTTGGCTGGCCTCCTTAACTGCTATTCAATCATGCAGGGGTTTTATCGAACTACTTGGTACTCCTTTTGATTTGTGGTATACACTTTTCCTGAGTGTCTAATATGGTATTTTAAAACAATTTTTAGGCTACCTGTGGATTTTTTATGTTGTTGACTACTCCTTTAAACTCCTTTCTAACTAACTTATTCATTTTTGTGTAATTTCCCTTCCCAAAGCTGTATATTCGCCTAGTGGACTTTTTCTGTTTGCTCCTTCCCACTAGGATGTTTCATATGATTGTTACAGTTGCTATTACATAATGTCTCACCTATAGATACTTCTTGAACCAAATCCTGTGCGTTACTCAGGATTAGGTCTAGCATTCTCCTCTTGTGGGTTTCAAGACAAGTTGCTCTAGAAAGCAGTTCTGTATTACATCCATATATTTTATCTCCACATCTTACCCTGATGAGGTGTTTACCCAGTCTGTGTAAGGATAATAAACACCTTGTTTTTGAAAGGAAGCTTAAAGGGAAAAAAATCTTCCTAGTGGAAACTAAGTAGCAGCAGCTAGGGAGCCAAGCCTGCTCCTAAGCCTGCTGCTTGTCCTGCACACCAGATGGCACCCACAAACCAATTGGCATGACAGGTCCAGGTCTGCATACCAGCCTGATCTGGTGCATGGGGCCATGTCATCCAGCCAGGGGGTTCCCCATGTGTCCTCATGCACATTCCAGCTTTTGCCCGCTGGTTTCGGGGAAGAAGATGTGGGTTATGCAAGACAATACGTAACCAAGATGCTTTGGTGAAATGTGGAGGTACTGCCTACTAACATGCTAGATCTCTTCTTTTCTTCAGGAATTCATAGCAGTCAGCCAGTTGCGAGGGTCAACTCAAGGGAAGATTCTTTGTTTTTATGGCCCTCCTGGAGTTGGAAAGACTAGCATTGCTCGCTCCATTGCTAGAGCATTAAACAGAGAGTATTTCCGCTTCAGCGTTGGAGGAATGACTGATGTGGCAGAAATCAAAGGACACAGGTTGGTTTACTCTGATATGACCCCAACAGGTTTTACCAGTCTTACAAAATAAGTTACTTGATCACAATATCAATTTTTAAATCAGGGGTGTCAAACTCAAATCAGCTGGTGGGCCATATTCCCTGCCAGGACCCAGGGGCTTAACACTACTGCCATTCACTCACACCCTCCCGCCTCCAACTGCCATGATTTTTTTTTCTGTCACCAGAGGTTATCAAAATAGTAAATTCAGAGACAGGAAAAGAGGGGATGAGAGGGTATCTATTTCCAGTGGGATCTGTGTTAACCCAATGAGTACTGGCTGCGTCAGCACAGTAGCCTTAGTAGCCATGGTGTCCACCTCCACACGCTGGATCCAGTCCATAGGCTGACTGTATGTTTGCCACCTCTGATTTAGATAATACCTGTACCTCAAAAACTTTCATATAGGTGCCTAGAAACTTCTGCTTACTGGAGTGGAGTTAATAAACTTCTTCACAGAAATGCAGGCACCACAGAATGGAGATGATGCAAGTAATACTGTTCTGATGTCTGCTGGTTGCCTGATTTTTTGGAGGATTAGGACCTTCTTTCTGAAAAAAGCTTCACAAGCAGAGACTACCCCTTTTGGGAAGGATAAGAGTAAAAGTATACAAAATAGGCAAATGAGACCCAGCAAAAGTTTTATTTGATTTTTGTTTAAGATGGATGGAACTGAGAACACTTTTAAACTAGTAAAAGACAGTGCTCTTCTGTGTTGAAGCTCCTTGGCCCATGATATGGAAATAAAATGTAGGGGTGGGATATATCAGATGTTTTCAATCTGGCTGGTGTGGGCGTGGGTGTGACAGGAAGCAAGTATCTCCTGTCTGAGTCTTGCCTGCTATGTCTTGATATATGAGGTGTGTGGTATTTTTTGAGGACTCTCCAGTTAGCTCATGTAACATTGCAGTGCATCATAATTCTCAGCCCCTTTTAAAGGGAGTTGCATAGTATCTTCCCTGCTCCTCATCCAACTGTTTCACACCTCTTGGATTAATATTCATAGCTTCCTATCTCAGAATCTCTCCAAAAACAGCTGGGCTACCTTAAAACTCTCAGGCTTTTCAGTAAATTGTTAACCTGCCATAAACTCTTGGTCTGCCATATATAGTCTTATGATCTTAGTGGTTCATTACGATATAATGATAGTTCATTACCACTCTGACTCTCCAGTGGTGTCAGAGTTGATTCTGCATTGTCTTCTGTACTGAAGACTCTTGTCATGCATCTCATGAGCAGGCCGATTTCTCCTGGAATTCAGGCATAGGATAGGGCATGGGAGACCCAGGGCTACTCTTGACTCAACACTCAGGACTCCTTGGGCCACTTCTATATCTGAGTCTGTCCCATGTGGGGGTGTCTCTGCTGACTTTTGCAATATACTTGAAGCATATCAGCCTTCCCAACCCTTTTTCTTTGCTCTGTTAAATTCACTGATACATAGGTCTTTTATGCACGGTGAATTTTCCTGACCTCTGAAGTACCTTTTTCCTTGCTGGTCTGAGATTTGATTACTTCACCAGCTTGCTTTCCTTATACATTAGCAATGTGCAGAGCTGGAAGTGATCAGCTTTTCAGCTTTAAAGAAGGCTGGTATCTCGTTTATTATATCCCATGTGACTTTCACCCTAGCATAAGGTCAGGGCTTTCATAGTTTGGTGTTTTGTACTTCTGTTACCCCTCACTCAAAAGCTTTGCCATTATCTTGGGTGCCAGTTCCTTCTTGCTTAGAGCACTAGGTTATTTTATAATATAAGTTATTTTACAATTTAGCCCTCTTTCCTGGTTTTGAATGTAGGCTAAGCACCATCCCCATCAAATAAGGACATGATGGAACCCATGCCCCATCTTTCCTCTTCTCCAAGGTGTAACAAATATACTTAGCTTTTTCACTACAATATATGAGGAAATAAAACCCAGTCACCCTAAACTATAAAGCAACTAAAACAAGACATAAATGTGCAGCCCACGCAGCTTCCCAAACCATGCATCTAGATCTGAATACTAGAATGAGACTTGATGGGTCTTTGAGCCCTAGTGTGGTGGTTGTGAAGGGTTGCTGAGAGCATTCTCCTTAGACGCAAGAAATCAAGATCTATTTCTGTTCCATCAGCTGCATGCTATATTGTCCAATGTGTGTAGTACCCTGGTCCTCTTCCCTGAATATTGTCTCTTATAAAACAGGAGGACATACGTTGGAGCAATGCCAGGAAAAATAATCCAGTGCCTAAAGAAGACCAAAACAGAAAATCCCCTTATCCTGATTGATGAGGTGATGTATGAAGTCAGATCTGATCTGTCTTCTGACTCTTGTATTTTTAAACATTGGGTATTCAGTCTCAGCCTGCTGGAGAAACACAGGTTTACATTTACACAAATGCCCAGGTCCAAAAATGATGTTGAATAGGACTTGTTATTCCCTAGTCACTTAGATGCTATTGAAAATGTTACTATAAAGCTTTTACGTTCTCCTTTTTTTGCCTGTGTCAATGTAGAAAGGTGTGTATTAAGGTAAAATTCCAGTTTTCTACTACAGTGTAGCCCTTAGATTGAGTGCCTAGTTTACATGCATCTTCATGAGAAGGATGAGTGGGCACCAATACTAACTGTCTTTTTATGATTCATAGAGGGATTCCTCCCTTTGGTTGCATGTAAAAGAGTCATGTGAGGAGTAAGAAATTAACCCAGTCACATACATGCCTAACTTAATTTGGGGTTAAATGTAAAGCTGTGGGCCCCTAATCCAACACTTTAAACTCCTGCAAAAAAGTAACTTCAGGAAAACAAACAAGGCGTAGTAAGTTGTAGTGTATTAGGCCACTGACAGGTGTTCATTTGAGAAGATCATCAAGGAGCACATCTGTGATGGGCCAGCATCGGGGATGATGCTCAAGGGCAACCAGCACGGTTTCATTAGGGGCAGTCATGTCAGACCAACCTGATTGCCTTTTACGATCAGGTCACAAAAGCATTGGATGCAGGTGTCGCCGTGGATGTAGTTTTTCTGGACTTCAGCAAGGCCTTTGACACTGTCAACCACCCCATCCTCATTAAAAAACTAGGCGACTGGCATCGATGCTTACACAGTCAGATGGATTGCTAATTGGCTGAAGGGTCATACTCAGAGGGTGGTGGTGGACGGGTCATATTCGACCTGGGGGGAAGTGGGCAGCGGAGTCCCCCAGGGCTCGGTCTTTGGGCCCACACTGTTCAATTTCTTTATCAGCGATTTGAACGACGGGGTGAAAAGCAACCTGTTCAAATTTGCTGATGATACCAAAATTTGGGGTGAGGTGGGCACGCTAGTAGGGAGGGAAAGACTGCAGAAAGACCTGGATAGGTTGCAAGGGTGGGCTAACAAAAACAGGATGCGTTTCAATACAGACAAGTGCAGGGTGCTGCACTTGGGCAGTAGTAACCAGCAGCACACTTATAAGATGGGAAACTCCCTTCTTGAGAGCACAGAGGCAGAAAGGGATCTTGGAGTCATCATTGACTCCAAGATGAACATGGGCCGACAATGCGAGGTCACGGTCGGCAGGGCTAACCGGACCCTATCGTGCATCCACAGGTGCATCTCAAGTAGGGCCAAGGAGGTGATCCTCCCCCTCTATGAAACACTGGTCAGGCCACAGCTGGAGTAGTGTGTCCAGTTCTGGGCACCCCACTTCAAGAGGGATGTGGACAACATTGAGAGGGTCCAGAGGAGGGCCACC